ATATATATATATATATATATAATGTTTTAAAATTAAATAATTATTTATCTATTCAAATTAACGTATATTATAATTTTCGATATTATATCAATAATATTATTAATATATTTATAGATAAACTAATAATTTGATAAATATAACTTGTTATATATTAATATACTTTTACAAAAATATAAGTATATTAATTAGAAATATATATCTGATCTTATATATTTATATTTTTGTAAAAGTATATTAATATATATTAAGTTATATTTATCAAATTATTAGTTTATTTATAAATATAGTAAAAATATTATTGATATTAATTTATCAATAATATTAAAATACTAATAATATATAAATTTTATTTATTTAGTAATAATAAATATATATCATTTGATACATTAAAAAAAATTATAATATACGTTAATTTAAATAAGCAAACAATTATATAGTTTTAAAACATTATATATATATATATATATATATATATTAAAATTATTAAATTTTTAATGAAAAAAACTAAAATTACACAATTATGATATTTGAGATTAAAATTGTTCAATTAAAAATTGAGACTAAAATTACACAACTATAATCTTTTAAGGACTGAAATTACTCAATTAAAACCTTAGGGCTCAAAATTGCATAATTATACTACTTGAGCGGTCAAAAACACAATTAAGTCAAGAATATTCTATTCTCAGTTTTGGAACGGCCCTTTCTGAATCCAGAATGGCCCGTTCTGCTGCACTGGTGGTGTGTAAATTTTTTTGCATCTGGAACAGCCCGTTTCGATTACAAAATTAACACACCAAAAGTGCAACAGAACGGCCCGTTCTGGTTTCAGAACGGGCTTTCCGGATCCAGGTGTTTTAAAAAAAATTGTCATCCACGTGGCATCCACGTATACATCTACGTGACATCCACGTGACCAAAAGTTAACTCCGTTTAAATAATTTAGACCGAAATCCCACATTGAAACCAATTAATTAATTTAGGACTAAATTGAAACCAATTAATTAATTTGGGACTAAATTGAAACCAATTAATTAATTTGAGACCAAATTGAAACCAAAAATAAAAATGAGACTAAATTGAAACAAACAATTAATATAAGAGACCAAAATAAGATTTTAGCCTGTATTTTTTTTAACTCATTGTATAATAATATAATTGCGTTTAAGTCGACGACATCATGGCGATATTGGCGAAGCGGAAAGGAAGAAGATAAAATTTGGCGTGAGGTGGGCATTTATTTTCCTCCAGACTAATCTAATGGTAGATGTTGGGTGGAATTATAAATTCCACTTCTATTAATGCAAAATGAAAGGTTTTCACGGCTCAGATATTGTGACTTGGTAGGAAGACAAAACCGCGTATCGTGAATTTGATACATACAACGGGGAAATATACTTGTTTACCTACCGGGTCTTGCTGTAGTTATCAAAATTTAGATGTACCAAAATCAAGCATTAAGTTTCAGCATTGGCAAAATCACAAAACAGACAGCTAAACACTCGCTATAACAAATAGAAAAGAAACCAAGTTGTACCAAAAAGACACGACAAAATCAAACCCTTTTCACTTGAAGCACTTGGCATCCAAAAGAGGCTCTCCCTCAAATGGTTCATAATCCTCGATCATCTGATTCACGCGCTCTTTCTGAGCTTCGTCAGATATGTCAACTTTGGTCCACTCGTACAGCTCCATGTCATAGCATTCATCTATCACAAATTGTGGAATCTCTTGCCCACGGAAAAGCCACAACCCTTTCACCTTGAATGGCGCCCCTGATCCAATCACAAGCATCTTTCCAAATGCATACTTGCGAGCCAGATCCATCCGCTGAAGAAATCCACCAACCTTGTTCAGTGTCACAAAGGAAACAGTGTTCTCATCATTGTATTTGTAATCACAGAACCACAGAGAATATCCCTCTGGATCGTACATGTCCCAAAATCCTGCAAGTTAAAACCACGACTTAAAATCTGCATCTCATATCAACAAACTTTTACATTCTTTTCTAAATGATAAACACACAAATCAATGAGTTCCTGAAAGCATTGTGACTTGTAATAACAGTATATTTTCAATGGATGTAAGCTACAATCATAATCCAAGCAGTGACAAAATTTTAAAATATAGAAACCACATGCAATGCCATCACAATACCTTTGATTGCAACCTCACGGAAATTGGTCTTAGTGTTTGAGTAGAGCCTTTTCCATTCATCCAATATCATCTTGCTAGGAGGAAGGAGATCAAGAGGATTCTTGGGCTTGGGCTTTGGTGCCTCCTCTTCCGCTTCCTCTTCTTTGGGCTTTTCTGTCACTGGTTTAGCCGCTTTCTTTGGTTCATCCTTAGCCTTGGGCTTAGTTTCCTTAGGCTGGGAAGGCTTCTTTGCAGATTGAATAGGTAGAACAGATTCAGTTTGCTTAACCTGACCTAATATCTTGCGGAAGTTAGGCTGGTTGACCAAGGTCCAGAAGTATCTCTCCACATGGGGGAACTCTGAGGTGAAGCTCTTAACTAAGAGCTGAGTAAAACCTAAATACAAATTGCATGTCATAATGATGTCAGCAAGGGTAACGGAATGGCCAACCAGGTAAGTATTGGAGGCCAGGTGAGTGTTCACGGCCCCAAACGCTCTCTTCAGCGCTACATTTGCAGCCTCCTCAACCTTCAAGCAGACACACATTTCAGATGAGGGAATAAATTTTGAGGAAAATGTGAGGTTGACAGGTTGTAATTACAAAAACTCAATAAAGATAAAAGAACACTTAATACCAACTTTGACATACATCCACCTATAGTTGCGTAACCAATTGATTTCAAAAGCACCTCAAATTACTTGGGAATAGTTGCCACTTGCAACCAACTCAAAGACATTACAGGATTGGTATAGATAGTGCATACTAGAAAATAGAAACCGATATAAAATGATGTAAATCGATTAATATTGTAAAAGATGTTGGCAAGGAGCTTACAGGAGGAAGGTATGGGGCAAAGCCAAGTCTTGGTAGGTACAATTTCATAAGATTAGCATCAATCTCCAAGGATGAAAAATCAATCCACTGGTCAATGCGGGCCTGAGACGGCAAATAAAATCAACATATTAATAAAATAGCAAACAGAAGAGGATAAAACATAGAAATGAGAGGTTACATTATCAATTGGAGAGGATCGGTACAAAATGTTGTCACCCTTGAATCGAGCAACTGCAGGAAACAGTCCCAGAAATTAAAGACAAAAATGGGCATAAAGAAGGAAGCGTGCAATGGTAGATGGAAATAAAGATACCGTAACGAGCGATGGCATTGCTCTCGAAGACTGGACCATGGGGCGTTTCCAACACAGGAACCTTAAAGCACAAGCATGGGATTAAGGCAAGTTTTGAGTAAATTCATAAGAAATGGAGAAAAGAGGAGCATACCTTTCCAATAGGATTCATCTTGAGGAATTCAGGAGTTTTATTGGAGACACCCATCTCAAAATTTGGGGCCAGTTCAACTTGGACGCCAGTGTACTCTGCCGCAATCAGAGTCTTGTAAGCATTTTTGTTTGTTTTGGTTGCGTGCAGGATCTACACAGGAAGCAACAGCGAATTGGTATGCAAAAACTTTGATTTTGCACATGAGAAATGGAAATGAAACTTACCAGAGCCATGGCTTCGACAAGCAAAAATGCGCACCACAAGTCTGAAGAAGAAATCGAGCAAATAAGATTAGCAGTGACTGTGGTGCAACTATATAAAAGAAATGATGAAGAAAACGGCAAATTGAAGAACTAGGTTTAGGTTTGTTTGACAACTATATAAAGGGCTGGACCCAACCCAGGTTATCAAAGGCCCAAACTCAAGTATTTGTCGGATCTACTTTCGCATATGCTTCTGCACTGTTTGCCCTTGCTTCTTCTAAAATAAACAAAAACAAAAAACATTTTAAATTTGTTTTTACTCTATCATTTTACATATGCATGATTTTATTTTTCAAATTATTATTTTAAATTTCTTCCCTCAAATTTTTAAAATTAAGTAACATTAATCTACAGTTAACATCACATGTAAAAATAGATTGAAAATTTCGACCAATATATTATTAATTAGTCATGTAAAAAATATTATTATTTTCATTTTTATTTATAAGACTTAATTCATATTATCTCATATATTAATTATTTTTAATTAAAGTGTGTTATCTTGATTTGATAAAAAATATTAATTATAATTTTTTTGAAAAATATTCATTCTTAACCAAATTAGTTAAGAGAATAATAAATATTAATTATGAGAAATAAATAATAGTATAAGGATAGTTTCAAAAAATATATAAATAAATTTATTATTATCAACTAAATAAATTATTTATTAAATTTTTTTTTGATAAACTAAGTGATTGGATTTTATATATAAGAATGGAGGTTGTATTATTTTAATAGATTATAGATTTTAATTAAAATGAATTTATAATAAAAAAAATAATGTTATTTCTTACATAAAACAAACATGACAAACGGACAAAGTACGCGATAAGTAATATCACTTATGAATGTGTCACTATTTTTCGGTCATTTTTGTTTGACATGTTAATGATGAATCAATATTATTCAATTTTAAAAATTAAGGAGACAAAATTTTTAATAAAAAATTAAGAGAACCAAAATTTATATTCATAAAATAAAAGGTATAAAAAGTGAATTCAAACTATAAAATAATTAAACAAACATTACTAATATGTATTATAGCTGTTCATTAAATTTTGAGAAATTATTAAGTGTAATTTTTATGTAATTAGTTTACAATAAAAAGAGGAGAAAAAAATAATATAAAATAGTTAATGCAATTAATATATA